ATGTATTTCTGATCCGGTTCCGATTACAGAACAGTATCCAATTTAAAAAAAGTGAAAATGTTATTGCACCATCACGAAAACTTGTATGAATGTGGAATGAACAGCAATATGTATATAAATATAGATACATTTATGCAAGAGACACATTTATATATGCATATATCTAGCTACAAATATGTATGAATGATAAATATACATATGCATATTTACCTATAACATATGAAGAAATAATATGCATATATAACTAAGTTAATGAAAACATGGAAAAACAATGACATTTATAAACACGCTTTGAAACTCTCACAATAAATAAAATCGTAAAAAAGTCTATAAACTAAGGTTTATTGCTCACAAAGATGGGATCAAACAACCGATTAACAAATGAAAAGACCCTCATTATTTTTGGAAAAGGAAAAACAAAGTGCAATAAACTAAAATAAAAAAATAACGCACCACATTAACTAAAAAATAGCAACTTAACGTGAAAAGAAAGAAAGTAGATGAAGTGAAATCTTAATCCTCTATTCAATAAAAGAAAAAAGCAATAAATTCCTGTAAAAATGAAATTATAAAAAAGAAAATTATTTATTTATATTATATTCATGACGGGGTGTTAAAGTAGCCTGTTGTATACGGCAAAGTACAAGAGGTTTGACAAAGGCATGGGAGTGATTTTCCCAACGAAAATTGGCTTGTATTTACGTTGCACGTGATAATAATAAATATACGCATTTTGCTTAGCGGGATCCATTTTATGTCCTTTGTAAAAACGCAGGAATATGTCGGTACTTAACAGAATTATGACAAAATATCTACTCTTTAAACCAGAGCTATTTTATTATAAATTTTAAACAGCAATAAAAGTACAGTTTAAAAATTTAAGGGTTATATTTATTTTTAATCAATTTATTCCTTCCTATAAAAATAAGGGAAGTAAACAAAATCTCAGTCGGGATCATAACAAAGCCAGAAAGGCTTGTTTGTCTGACCTTCAAAATAGGTTATAAAGAACGGGGTCAAAGGCTAATGCAATCTTTGTTAGAAAGTACAAAGGATGTCATTCGAAATCTTCACACCTATTTTCTGCGTTAATGGACAGGAAGGGGAGGAAATTGTTGTGAAATCGGAAAAGTATTTTGGCCGGTTCAGATATTTTGAGGATACAGCTTAGCGAAGGGTCTGAATTTCAAAGAGTTCATTTAAATTATATATGTTAATCATTTGAATTATTGAATTATTGCAAATAATTTTTCTTTGGTCTTAAAAAGAAACTAGTATAAATAGTCTTATTTCTAAATAAATTAGGGGGGGGGGAAGTTGTATTTTTGGTAGATTTTTCTGGCATTTGCAATTTAAAAAATAATGCATTATCTTCTGATCTTAAAATTTATCAAATATGTTGGACATTTTTGTAAATGAGGTATTTCAGTTTTCAGATGTTCAAAATTTAGTGTGAATATTATTTAAATGTGTTAAAAGTTTTCAGGAAATTAAATAGTCATTATGACTCTGTGCATTAAAAACCCTTAATGCAGTACCAGAAAAACTGCATGCATTAAAAACCATTAAATTTCATTGTTGATTTCTTTTAATAATTTGTATGCATTAATAACTGTATAAGCTGGAGATATAAATGATTCTCTCTAAACTGCATTTTTAAACATAGCCTCAAAAATGTATTTCCAAAACCCACTTTTTTACAAATATAGAAACATTCCTTAGTGTCTGTCCCCTAATTTTTGTCATTTTTTATTGTGATAATATTTAGTTTTTGAAATGATTATTTTTTATTTTAGTCTATTTTAATGATTTTCTTTTATATTAGAAGGTGAGAAAACATAAGAAATAAAATATTAAATTTTAAAAAATCAAAAATTTAAAATTTTGTAATAATTTTTTTTAAAAAAATCATTTTGGCAGTTTTTAGATTTTATGAATCTAAGACTTAAGGAAAATATATTATGGTTGCTATGAATGACTTCAGTTATTATTTTGTTTTAACATACAGTATAAATTATTTGATTTCATGTTTTAATAACAGCTGTGGATTTAAGTAATACAGTACAAAGTTGAAGATCCAGCATTATCAAGACTTTGTCAATTTCAGATTTTTTATCTTCAGTTTAAAGAGGGCATATAGAGATAGGAACATTACAGTTATTTGTATCATACTGAAAAATAATTCTCCAATGAAACTGATGCCAGAGCCAATGAAGCCACACTTAGCAGCAAAAATTTTAGAATTTAAAGGAGTACTGAAGAACAAAAATTAGGGAAAGCAAAGTTCTTAGAATTTAGAAGAGGCACTGGGCAGCAGAATTTAGGGCTGGCAAAATTTTTAGAATTTAGAGAGATACCAGGCAGCAGAATAGAGGACCAGCAGAGATTGTTCAGGGCAGCAAATATATAGGCAACACCAAAACCTCGAACCAAAATTGTGATCCTGGACAACATCAATATGATGTCAGTCAATGTGTTGTTATTGGTTATGGTGCAACTTCCTAGGCAGCAAATATTTGAAAGTGATATGCAGGAATCTCAGTTGTGGAAATATCAGGTTTACATTTTATCAACTATTAAATATTTCATTCCTTGATTTTATAAGAAAAGAGTTTTATTTTTATAGTTTATTTTATTAATATATTTTTTGGCTGTCAGTCTGAAGGTCTGGATTTTGGACTTTGTACTGTGTACAGTTTAATTGTAATTTTATGGCAACTAAAGTAAATAAGATTAATGGAAATAGCTGAAAACGTGTATCTCTGTTAAGATCAGTCATCAGTGTGGAGTATTATTTGAGTGAGTTATTACAGTATACATTTTTGTTTTTGGAGTCATTTTAAAGATTCTTTGAAGTAGTTCATGAATTAATTTGTTTCAAGGTCTACAGGAGTTGATTTCCTTAGCTGTGCTTTTACTAATTGAGATCTTGCGTTAATGTTGGATTCATAAATTTTTTGTACTTAGTTATTAGTTGGTATTTGCTATCGTGGTATGTTGGTAGTAATACCACGCATGATTCTCTTTTCCTAGGAGCATTGCATCAATCCTTGAAGTTGCTCTGGATCCTTTTGGAAAGATGTGATTTTTAAAAATTTTCTTCTCTTCTCTTTTAGCTTAGTTTTTGTTTGGGGGGTGGGGTGAATTAAAGGTTGGTGAGAATGGCTTTTTGTGTCAGCTCTGGGCCAGTAGCAAGCACATATCCACATTCGGCTAATCTTTGGAATATGGTAACAGGTAGTTTGGCGACATTTTGGTAAGGTGGTAAAGGTTACTAGCTAGGACTTTAGCAGTGTACATGAATAAAGTCAAGAGTGTGCGCAATGCCATTTTTGTGCAATTCTGGGATGTTTTTTTAAGTGAAAATAGGTCGACGTGTACGTGGATGATACCGTGTATGTGCAATTCTTAAAAATGTGGCAAGCAGTGGGCAATTCTGCACTTTCTCCTAATTTCGCACCTAATCTTCGTCATGATTAAGCACTTTTTTCCATAAAAGTTCTAGCATAAACGTAATTCGGCTAGCAGATTGTTGGAAAAAATGTTGGAAAAAAAAAAAAAAAAAAAAAAAAAAAAAAAAAAAAAAAAGCCTTCGTGAAAACAAAATGTTGTCCAAAACAAAACTAGCAGGTTGCTGTAGCAAGCAGGGTTGGTCGCCAAATTTTCGCCAAAAAATCGCCAAGCTACCATAATCCAAAGATTTACCCCACATTCTTTCTTCCTGTAAATCCGTCTTTTCCAATATGTGATATTTTACCAAAAAATCATAAATGCTCCAATTCTCATGCAGTGTACTTGATGATGGAAGATGCATTATGGAAATATAAGCTTAAACAAATGCTTACAAAATGGTAGGATGAGAGCTAGAAATTGATTCAAGAGAAATTACTTGCTTAGTAAATTTCAAATGAGGATAGAGAACTGTACGGACATACAATCAATCAAAAAAGTCATTTAATTGATTTATGGTAACAGCAATTCTACCGGTTAACATAAATGACAGTTTGAGGGGAAATCTAGTTATATGTTCTACATACAATCACATCATTCAAAAAAGACATTTAATTGATTTATTGACACAGGATGGCCCATAAAGATGCATAACATAACAGTTAACATAAATGACAGTTTGAAGGGAAATCTTGTAGTATGTTCCATATACTTTGCAGGCTGGTGTTGAAGACAAAACCTCATTAACACACATAGTGTTGCCATTATTAACTTGCTTTTCTTATTTAATATCTCCTTACATCATGCCTAATGATTTTTAGTTATGGGGATGGTAAAGGACCGTGTTTATGCTGTGGAAACCGAGAGATCTTGATGATCTTTGTCAACTAGTTGCCAGTATGATGCTGTCCAGGTTTGTTGTTTTCACATCTTAGATAGTGTGATCCAATGGAAACATGACCGGGTTGAAGATGTTTTACTAAATCAAGTGAAGTGAAATGAATACATACATGCAAAGCACTTTGTATCATTGCTATATCTATATACTACATGTAACTTGCACTAAAAACTATTATATTCATTTAAGTGGTAATATCTTTATGGCACACCATGTATTTCATGGCCAAAAAGCACCAATATATTGTTAGTAGTGTATTGGCAGGTGTTGGTTAATATTCAAATATCAATTTTTTACTTCTTCAGAGCAATACATTTATTGTATTATTTAAAAAATAGATATAGTAGCAATTTTTTTCAGCAGTGTTGATGCATTTTTTAATTTACAGTTAATGTAAATTAAAAATATAAAAAAAGTATGGTTTTTCTGCCGTTTTTTCCTGTAATTTTTTTCAATAAGGTGTCATGATAGAGAATTACTATATTTTAAGAAGTAACCGTAAATCCACTGCTGTTTAATTGTATCTTATTTTATTTTACTTATTAAGTTAATGGGGCAGATACTGAAGAATTTCCCCACATATCTAATTGATCTTCATTCTGTCGATTGTAAAGTCTAGTATCGCTAAATGAACGTACACATTTTCATGCAGTTTAGTAGAAGGAGAAGGAGGCGCGTTTTGTCTGTTGACACATTGGAGGAACATTCATTTTCTGAAACTGATTCTGAACTGGAAGATGATGCAGCCATATTAAAAAATAAAAGAAAGGTATGTAAATATAGAAAACTAACTGCTTTGTTGGTATTTTGTCATGTTTTTCTATACGGTGCTTGAAATCTATTCTTTTTTAAGGATGCTACATCAAAACTAGCTGACGGATCAGAATATGAAAGTGCGGAAGACGAAGAAGAGGATAAAACTGTAAGAATTGTTTTTTTTAAACATGGATATATTATAGAAGGAATTTAGCTTTTAGAATAACATTTTAAAAATAAAGTGTTTTGATGAAAAATTTTTAAATGTATTTGTGATCTGTCACTTTCTGAATTTATTACCGTAGTTTAAAACTGCAATTAATTATCCGAATGAAAGTATGAATGCTCTTGTTAAACACTTTTCGTTAGTCTTTACATTTGTGCAGCATTTGCGCATGGCAAAATTGTTAGCCTCTCTCTGGAATCGTTAACACTATTGAGGGTCACAGAAGTTGCTAAGTATTTTGGGTATGATATAAAATTGTCTCTCTCTGGAATCATTGACACTATTGGAGGTCGCAGAAGTTGCTAAAGTAGTTTGGGTATTATATATTGTCAGGAACGATCAATTTCATCAGCATTAATAAATCTGTTCTATAGATAACTTTTCATTATTAATGAATTTGTTGAATTCATCTTCAAATTGTTCAGCTGTTTCAGTAGTAGCTGAAGCTTTTTCACTTGAAATTTTTAATTGCTTCGTAATATGGTTTACTTACCTGTTGAATGTGTGAGCTTAGTTTTTAAGCCCATGTTCTCTTGGAATATTTGGACTTTAGTTATTAGCATTGGACCCATCAGTGGCATCCAGTTGTGGCGATGCTGTCTCACCCATTCACTCTTTACTTTCTAATAATTGTCACTTTTACCAAAATTAATGATTTTTCTGTTATTGATTATCAGTGGGGCATCAGGATCTACAAAAAATGTAGAATGCTCCTGTTTTCTTATATCGTATACTGTTTGTTTTCAGTGCCATATTCATCACATAATTTTGAGACAGGTATGCCATTTAAACCTTAAAATTTTTTTTTTTACTTTTATTTTTTATTTATTTATGTCATAATAAAAGTAAAGGAAAAAGACGGAGCACTGCAGATGCGTAGTTATCCTATATCGAAGAGGAAGTAATCTGATTGCGTCGTAAGCTAATGTGTTGACTTTGTCAATAAAACTTGGCAGTAGAACGATTTTACTTCCATTTATTTCCATTGATAGTGGTGGCCATAATCACTTGGCACTCCCACAGAAGATTTACATTTTGATAAATGTTGGGATAAAGCCAGCCAATCGAAATACATTTAGCACAGTAGATAGAAAAGCTGAAGTGCTAGTATGCAGAGGGGCACGCAAAGGAAAATTTTGTTACAATTCGGTGATGGTCGCAAGAGGCATCTGTATTACGGTTACATAAATCGCATGATTTTTGAAGACGCCATGCAGATAATTATTCGATTTTAGAATATAGAGAAGATTAATGTTTATAGTTATATTATAATTCTGATTCATACATTTTTATCTTACATTTATATATTTATTACGGAGTGAATCCTCTTTTTGCTTTATTGACACCTAAACATGTTTTCACTCTGTTGCAGCTCCAGAACTGGAAATTCTTTTCAACATAATTGAAAATTCAAACTTTAATTTTGGTAAAAAAATAGTAAATATACTGATCACCTGCAAAAACTAATAATTTAGATCAAATTAGAAAGTGCAGTAGAGTATAGTATGCTGTACTAACTGATTTTTAGTTCCTTGAAGTCTACTACACCCTTTCTGGCTTATATGCCAACAAAAGAAAACCCGTACGAGCAACATCCTACTCCAAGCAAATATGTCTTGGGGCTTCACTTATTTTTTAGGTCATATCGAAAAATGCTAACTCCTACACAACCACTCAAAGGGAAAAAGTGTAGCCATGGCCAACATCAATACAATGTCAGTCCATCTATTGCCATTTGCCCATAATGCTAGGTCTCCCATTGCAGAGTCAAATTAGCTGCCCCAAGACTTTTTTTTATTTGAAAAGTGATATTTTAGTATGTTTTTGTAGTCTTTTAGGTATTACGATTAAATATTCAATAAAATATGGCTGGTTAGTGTTCCATTTATAAAGTGTACTGTTTAAATAATATACATACATATGATGAGTATTGCGGTTTCTTACAAAATTACATGAAAGCAGTTTATAAATTTGACTTGGATAAAATTCAAGTTAAGCTAGAGTTTACATAATATAAATTCAGCTGAAAAAAATAGATGGCATTTATTGTTACTGCTGTTATGAGATATCATGAATTATTAGGCAAGTGATTGTTGAAGAATTTGATAACCGTTAGCATGTTTGATAATTATTCTGAAAGTAACTGATTAATATATAAAAAATTTCTTTGAAAAATATATAGTAGTATCTCTTTGACATATTGATTTGCCAACCATTTCATAACTTAAATATTTGTGTTTATGCTCAGGACACTGACTACAAGATAACTTGTAGCTTTTTTTACTTCTCATTTTTATGCAGCTATTTTTATGTTTGAAGAACGTATGTGTATTTTAAAAAATCTTAATTCTTGGAAAGGCTAGTTTACAAAAGGAAGCCCCTTTCAATAGCTATTGGCAGGGGCTTTTCACCCAACATTATTAATGAAGCAGTTAAAAAATTCTCATCTCAACACACCAAAGGCCACTCTGTTTAGGAGATGATAAAAATCTGTGTCATTCCTGTGTTCACAAGTAGATATAGTGCATGTTTTGCAAAATTTAACTTTCGGTCATTTATTCTCCCATCAAAAATCCGAGTTCCATACTCAAGGACGCCTTGGATATGATTCCTGGGGTATACAGGATTCCTTGCCAGTGTGGATTTAATTTACATTGCCAAACTAAGAGAGCCTAAAATTTGCTCCAGGAAATGAGCATATTTAAAAAAAGGAAACACAGAAGTCTTCGTTGCCCAACATTGTGGCCAAAATCACACTTTCAATTTTCGGCTGCAGAATTAGTCAAAACATATTATGGGACGGGATGTCAGAGGCATTTACAAAAAAATTTTGTTTAGTAGGACCCTAATTCAATCTCAGCCTTCAACCTTTAAGCATTGTTTTAGTCTGGTTTCATCAGCATGTGTGGGTATTCTTGGCCAGGTTTTTCTTATCTATCATATATACGATCTGTTTGCGCGTTTTGCTGTGGAGATGGTCGGTAACCATCGAAACTAGTCTGTGAAATTTGAAAATATAACACTGATTTTTGTTGTTTGACTTCTGAATTAGTATTTGTTCGGCGTGTTATTGTGTCTTAATTTTGTTTTATGTATTCTGATTGGATTACACACAAGTAAATTATTATTGTATGTAATTCAATCAGAATGATTAACATGTGCAATTAAATGCAGTTTAATTGGATTGTATTCCATTAAATTTACATGCTGTTGTGGATTTTTTATTATAACAAACAAACAATTTTTTTTTTTAATGTGGTACGGTTAATCTAATTATTCAGAAGGTGACTATTTTTTAGCTTCACTATATACTTGATTTAAATTAGGTCAACTGGGATTCGCATTTAAATTTAGGGATAAGAAGCATATAGTATTTGTCTGTTTATTATAGTTAAGTGTATGGTTTTTGTTATTGTATAGAATGGAGAATCGAGGTTCAAGGATCAAGAATCTCTTTCTGAATTAGTTGATGAAGAAGGAGGTGAGGAGGATATTGCTGAGACAGAAGATGTTGAGGGAGATTTTTTAAGTGGAGATCCTCCTGATGATGCATCTGAAGATGAAGACTATGTTGAAGAGGAAAGACAGCAAGGTGATGGTGAGGTAAGGGTGTGTTTGCGTTCTTTTTATCGAGCATTGATTGACTGACCATAAAATTAAATTTCCTTTGTATGAAATTTAATTTTATAGAGTTTCATTTATTGAATAAACTTTGCGTATCATTTTCATTTGAAACATTTTAATGCACACCTAGTATCATTAATTTGTGTCCAAGTTAAGTATACTCACTTGTAGAATGTGTATAATGATAATTAAAGTGGTTGAAGCCCTTAAAAGAATTTCAACATAAATTCTGGAAGCTGTTAAAGCTTATGCAGCATTAATTCTAACAGGGCTGATTTAAACTTTTGGCCCAGGACAAAAATCTTTAATGATGGTCCCTATTCTTCTAATTAATTTCAATGTAGTTAATATCCCAAATGCGATTTGTGTAAAGTATTTTGAGAAATATCCTAATAATTATCTTTTCTATTAAAATTATATAACTTAATATATGTATATATTATACATATCATTTTTGGATGTTATTATGTGGAATTTTGGATGTTTTGGATCTTATAAAATATAAATTTACGTATTTTAAACTAGGGTATAATTGTCCTACTCGAAAAAAATCTGGTGTCATTCTTAATTTCAAAAGCTTTCTCTAGCAAGATAAAGAATAAATTCCAGGCCTCTGTCCATTGTGCTGCAGGAATTGTTAATATCTGAATACTTTTAATCGTATCTTCTATGTTTATGTGAAGGTGTTTTATGATTTCTGTGTCAGAATTCCTATTCAAATGACTTCATGTTGCACTCTTAATTTTTCTTAAAGACATGTATTTTCACATTTATATCTGTCTGACACTGTACTTCTCAAAATTTGTTGAGAGAAACCTGGAGCATTTTTGCACTCTGAACTTTGCAAAATAGGTACTCTTAGATCTGGTACAGTCAAGTATGGGAACAGTCTGCCTACTTTTTCCATGACAAATATTAAATCTTCCTTTCTTTTTCTTTTATTGCAAGCATTTTATCTTTTTTTTTTTTTTTTTTTCCATCCGAGAACAAAAGAAATGAAACACTGAGAATTGAAATAAGCCTACCTTCTTCCCGTTTTGGATGCTCCTGTCACCAGATGTACTGGTTTGCTTCTTAATTTTTCATAATCCACAGAACAAGGTAGCAGTGTTCAACACAAGTGATAAATTTATGCAAACATAAGTAGTGTAGGATAATTATATATAAAATTTATGTACTTTGAAATGCCTTTCTTCCGCAGAACAAGGTGCACTTCTACTACAAAGTGCGATTTTAGTATATATTTTAGTTAGAGGTAAATGCATGTCTGCATCTGTTGTGCAGTTAATCAGTTCCTATTCAAACCCTGACTCATTCCCTGTGGCTGAAAATCATCAAAGAGTGCTACATACATTTTCCTTTTGAAACACGAAAGGAGAGAATATCAGACACTACGAAAGGGATCGGGATTTTGTGGAAAGTTCAACTGAAATGTGATTTAGACTTCATGTTACAAAAAATTTATTATAATAAAAATTAATTAATAATATGATTTAAGTTATGCAAAATGAATATTAAATATTTGTAATAATGAATAGTACTGATAAAAGCTTAATGCCCGACTTATATGTTTGTTCAAAAAGATTTTTTAAAAATAAAAATTAACTAAATTTTTTTTCTTTCACCCCTTTTTAGTTGTGAAATTGTATCATTTTTTTAAAGTATGTCTTCATGTACACTGCCAGGGGCAGTGCTATTCTCCTACTGGGGCCAATTGACAAATTCACTGCTTTTCAGTCTTGAAGCCCGATAGTGGTAGATTTATTATATAATGTTCTATAATAGTATTTTGACACAAATCGGACTTTTTCTGATCTGCATGCAAATTTTTCATATTTGATTCTTACTCAAATGATCCAAAATGCCGAATTTTGGAAAATCCAATAACTACTTTTTTAAAAATTAGCTCCTATGTAATTGAATTGATATATATTTATATCTCTTTTTTATTGAATTACTTGATTCCTGCTTCCAGAATTCAAAATTAGCCCACTCCACATTAATTCACACCTTTTTTATGATTTCATTTGTTTTAAAAATTTGTATTTAAAATATTTTTATTTTTGAAAATTTTTTGTATTAACCTGTAATATTTTATATCATCTTAAAATAGATATATTTGTAAGCATATGTGCAAAAAATTCGAGTTTTTTTATTCAGAATTTCCTAAGATATATGTGAATTTACATTTATGGGTATTTTGAAATTTGGCATAGTTAATATAAGCGATAATACCGAAAATGTGGTTTACACACTTTGTTAAAATTATTTGAAAGAATGAACGATGGACCGTTTTTTCCCTCTCGTGCATCAATGAAAAAAAGGAATGTAAGTTACTATAAATTAAAAATTCCACCAAGTGAATTATTCTTGGCACAAATCGAAAAAATCTGTCAAGATAAATTTTTAAATTTCTCACCAAAAATTGCAAAATTTAATTTCTAGGCATAATTTGAGTGATAGAATCGAAATGCGTGTGAATATGTGTGTGGCTGCGAATATGTGTGTGTGCATGCGCAAAATATGTTTACGAATGCGCGTTTAATGTATAACGAACGGTATAAGCTAAGCTAAAATTATCTAATTCAGTTAATGTTGCAGATTGCGTTGTTCCTTAATCTTCGAATTGGATCCGGCTTATTATTTTTTGCAGACTGTTAGAGCAATTTTATAAAAGTAAGCTTGAACTTTCGATTATGTCAAATAGAATTTCCGATATATATTTACTAATATGTAAAGGATCTACAAAGCAAAAGTATGTTTCGAAGTCCATCAAACAAAAAGTGGAATTGCTGCAAAAAATGGATAAAGGCATATCCTTTGGTTTATCTTTAACACGCTGGGCTGCGCGCAATGAATTGGAAGTTGATCTGTCAGCACTATCCTTATCTTCAGGGCAGATGTTTTTATTTTATTGGCTTATAATTCCTTACTAAATGTAGTATTTCATCTCGGTGTACTCCGTCTTTGATATGATTTAAATCAAAATTCCTCATTTATTTCGCTTCCGATACGAATAAATACAAGGTTATTGAAAACGAAAAAAATCAATTAGTCGGTTTTCGACAATTTAGGACTTGAACAATTTTAAAAAGAAATTTGCGTTTATGATAAGAGAATGTTTACGCATACGAAGCCTAAACAATTAACTGAAAGAAATGTTAATAAGTAAACAAATAAATATTAAGCTTTTTTTTTTGTAAATTTTGATACCCTTTAGATCATAATTGTTCTTTATTTCATAAATTACGGTTTCAATTTTAATTTTAATTTCTGCATGCCATCTTACCAGATTTAAACTGATGATCTATAAACCGGAAAAATCGATAATCTGGAATCGCCGAAGTCCCGACGAGTCCGGATTAAAGACTTTTGACTTATTTATTTCGACGTCGTTTGGTGTCAGACTCCTATGTTAGAAAATGCTATATATAAATCTAATATATATCCTAAGTTGCGCTTTCGAGACATGAAAAACACGATTTGAATTTCGCCAATCGGCCCAGTAGAAGGGGTGATATAGAACTGTCTCTTTTGTTTTGCGCAGTGTACAAAAGTTTGCTTTCTTTTTACAGATATTTCAAAACATTTAATTCTTCAATTTAGGCTTGATCTTTATCATTATCATCAGATATCAGTTCTCTTAAATTTTCTGCCTGAGGCAAATTCAGTTGACCGGCACAGTAGTGTAGGTACAGAGTAATATGGTAGTAGTACAGATTTGTGGAGAAAGATCTAAAAAAATTCTGAAAAAAATATAAAGAAAAATATCTTTATGTTATGCCTTAAATGCAATAAAATAGATTTAACATATTATTTTATTTGTATTATATTTTTTATTTCAGGAATGTGCTCCTTCTAATGCTGTTCATGAGAAAGAATTAGATTATGATGAAGACAGAAGGAATCCTCAGTATATACCTAAAAAGGGTATATTTTATGAGCATGATGATAGGAATAATGAAGATCCCAAGGAAAAAGAGGAAGAACCTTTAAGGTATTTAAAATGCATGTTCTCATTAAGAATTAAGAAGCAAAGCTGATTTGATTTTTAATTTTAATACTTTAATATCAAAAGATTTAAGAACTCTTACTTATTTCATTCATTCATGTTTGGTTTGGTAAGCATGATATGTTTGAATCTATCTAGGCAATGTTACTCATTTTATTGAAATTTGTTTTTATAATTACTTCTTTTCTTAAAAGTATACATTCATAAAAAAGGTAGACCTGATTACTGTACTCCATTGTAAATTAATATTCTGAGTTTTTATAGAAAAATGATTAGCAAATATTTGAGTTTTGACTGTAAGAATAAATGAGGTAACTTTGACACATGTAGAAACTTTGCTCAATAGTAATGATAGCAGTATGTTTAACTAGTTGATTGGCAGGAAGATTATTGATTGTGCAATAAAAATTACAGTGTGTATTATGATTTGCAGGAATGAATCTTCTTATAATTATTCAGTTCAGTTTTGGACGAAATTTTATGAGATTTAACTGTTTGACCAAAATAATCATTTGTTACTATTGCTACTTAGCACCAGGCATGGTCTACCAAATGTAGATGGAAACAAAGTACTGCTTGGATACCTCTAGGGCAGTCAGTATGGTTCATATTGAAACTTTTATGGTAAAAAGATTTAAACTTTCATGTGTATTTTACCATAAAAATTGTTGAGCTGTTCCAAAATTTTTTGAAATAAAAATGTTTAAAATCAGGTCCAAATTTTCAATACCTGTATTACAGTATGAGGTATATAATTTTGTAGTTGTATTCATTAATGAGAAGTTTACATAATAAGTAGTTGTTCTGAATGGATTCCTCCCCCCTTACTCGTGCAGTTTGTTGACATGATGTTTTATGTTTTGGTTTTAAATGATAATTTTAATGTGGCTGTAAGGAATTTGCTAGAATAATATGATAATGTTTTGGTAAGTTTAACTGAAGCTATTTATTTGCTGCAATAAACTGCTACATTCATGTCAACATTCAATGATAAGTTCATAAAAGTGCTAGTAGTTTTTTAGTATTATTTGTGTAGGTGAATGATCATTTTCTTATACCTGGTCTAAGTAATTCAATAAGATAATTGCTTTCTGATTAATAAATATTGGTGTGATATCAGGATAAATATTTAACATGTCTTGTAATTAATATTTTATTGGTATTATGTAGTTTAACATTTCTTAATGTCTTCATATGAAAAATTGCTATAAAAAGTAAGCTAATTTATAACATTGATGCTTGGATATTAGCAAGTATCTACAGATACACGACCACAATACAATCCTTGACTTTGCATGTCTGTGAAAGTTATGACAATTTTAAAAGCTGTTGCTGCCTTTCATTGAATGATGCAGTTTTTTTTTAATTATTTCAAAGTTCAGACCAATTAATGCCAGTTCACTCTATGTTTTTTTTTTTTTTTTTTTTTTTTTTTTAATTGGGGGTAATTCTTTTCTTGCGGAAGTTCTCAGGACAACACCTTTTCATCTCATGTTTCTTTTTGCTGCATGTTATATCATTGTTGATATTAGATTTACAAAGAAATAACACAGAAGCTATCCATTATTCCCAAACATTTGATATTTTCTCAAGAAATGATGAGTATTTCAATCTCTTGGAATGAAATTTTACATGGCCCAAATATGTATAATAAAAATGTGCTGTTACTTATAAAATGTATGAATTAATTAGTGGAGGGAAATCACTAGTGTTCTTATTTAGCTGAGTTGAAATGGAGACAGAGATTAGCTATTTAATGCAATTACCAAGCAGTGCCAAACTTAAATAAATAAACAAATAAAAAACTATTTCTTTGGTCTATTGAGGTCAAAAATGTATTTCATCCCTAAGAGCAGCAGTTGATTGTTGGTAGTGTATCGGCAGTTGTTGGTTAGTACCCAAGTATCATGGCTTCTTCCAGCTTAATTTTGTGATAATATATTTTTTAAATTTTATTTACAATACTTCATAGATAGAACATTTATATGAGTATACTGTTCTCTAATTTTTTTTTTCGTTGTTGTAAAGGGATCGAAAAAAAAAGCTTTGGTTGGATGAAGGGAAATGGGGACATGATAGATTTTGTGAAGAGGAACAATATCCTAAATCAAAGCATGAACTGATAGAAACCTATGGTTATGACATTCGAAATGAAGACGGTCCTCCACGAGCTAGGAGACGAAGGAGATATGGGTAAGATTTATTTATTACCTATTAATGAAGATGCAATGAACTCTTTTTGAGAGGATCACTAACAGTTCTAGATTACTTTGATCTTCTTCATTGGTGGTCATATTACAGAGGTGATGTTCAATAATGTTGTTTCCAATGTTAGTTTATATTTTCAGAAACACTAACCACTTTCATAGGCCCTTTTTTTATGGAGCTAGTTACCATGAATTTCAGAAAAATCACTTCTCACAAAATATTTGTATTTTAATATATATATGTGCACTATTAGTATATCTGTTCTTGATTAGGAACCTAATAGAAGAAATATTGTTAAGAAGTTGCAGGTGTAAAATTTTCTATCTATTTTAAAATTTTTTATTATTGTTAGCCCCTTTTTTCTCAAAATTGCTCTTTGTTAACAATATGTTAAGTTTCATTTGCTATTATGCTATGACTAAGATGCATTTTTTTAATATCTTCTTTTGTAATGCCTAGTTGTTATTAACATCTTTTAAATTTTTCTTAAATAATTTTTAATCAGTAATGTAATTTATTCCTGAAGATGTAATAAATGTTGCAAAAATGTTATTTATTCTTTTGAAATTAAACTTTTTGCTGTTTTCTTGATTTTTATTTTGTAAATACCACAAAATGAAATTTTCCATCTTAAGCCTCTATAACTAGGGGGAAAATGCATAGTTATGAACTAATGATGCATGTCCTTAGATCTCTTGACTTAAAAATGCCACCAATATGAGATGAATAAACTGTTATCAAAGGCCGAGCATTGAAATGCATATCTGATTATCTTATAATTAAGTTGATAATTTCATACCTTTTCTATTTTAACATATACGTATGCAATTAGAGTAAAATAACACGCCGAACCAATATTAACGTAGAAGTCAATGTTATAATTAGAAACAACAAAAATCAATATTATAATTGCAAATTTTCACAGGACTAGTTTCAATGATTTTACCGAACCATCATCCTCAGCTGTCAAAAGTGCAAATGAGCCAAATAAGATATAGTGATAAGTTAAGATAAGAATGGCTGAACAAAAGTTAAGCTACTGATGCCATACTAATTCAGAAGTCAAACAACAAAAATCAGCGTTAATTTACAAAATTTTCACAGGACTAGTTTCGATGGTTTTACCGAACCATCATCTTCAGCTGCAAAACCGCAAATGAACAAGATAGGAAATAATGATTAGATAAGATAAGAAAGCCTGGACAAGAATAAGCAAGTGGCGCCATCTGTTGGCGAAACCAGAACTAAAACATAATTTCTCTTAAAGGCCGAAGGCAAATTTGGATTGGAATTAGGATCATTAACTAGAACAGAAAGATTTTTATGAATGTGAAATGCCTTCTAGAAAATCCATTCTCCAATGGAAGATGTTTTTTGAATAATTTTGGCAGCAGAAAAATTGAAAGTGTGATTTTCGGACCAACAATGTTGAGCAACAGAAGACTTCTGTGTTTCCTTTTTCTAACATATGCCTCATGTTCCTTGACGCGAAATTTTAAGGCTCTCTAGTTTGGCCAATGTAAATTAACCACACTGGCAAAGAATCCTATAAATACCCCAGGAATTCATATCTGGAATGGGGTCCTTGAAGTATGGAACTCGGAATTTTATTGATGGGAGAAATAAACAACCCGAAAGTTAAGTTTCTGCAAAATATGTACAACTTTATTTAGCTAATTGATGGAAAATAAAGGAATGACAACAGAATTTTTATAATCCTTCCTAAAACAACAGTGTGCCTTTTAGTGTGTTGAGATGACTAATTTTTTAACTGCTTGGCTTAATAATGTTGGGTGAAATAAGCCCCTGTCAATAGCTACTTGCTTATTAAATAATTTAGTTCTAGATCAAGGGCTAGTTTGGAAAAGGAGCAACTTAAAGAGCACAGGAAAAATAAGGAATAAAATGAAGCTAACTTTTGTTTAGTCGGATGACATGATTTAAAGTGTGGTGGAAGGCAAACCGATGAAGGTTTACGGTAAACTGTAGTACTGAAGTTGGATGTGTTCCAGCTTTGTCATCAGCATGTGTAGTATAATAAAGCTTGAGTATATCTTAGGAAAATGTTTTGTTGTATGTCAAAAGCTTCACATGGGTATACAATGCAAGTGAGTCTTCAAATCACATAAAGCATATGCACAAGTGTTGGAATGTTGCTGAAATTTTTGTGGTAGAAATTTTAAATTGGATGAAACAGTACAACATTTAAGCACCTGGACACAAAATCCACGTGTATGGAAACACATTCATATTTTAAAGTTGTTCATTCTTTCAAATCCCTGTTGAGGTAAAAAGTAAAGTTATCAATAAAGGATGCATTCTACATTATGATATAATGATGACTGATGGCATAAGCAAAATTTTGTTGCTAGGCAATAGACCTTGCTATGCCAGCCAAAACTGGGATAAAGATTTGGTCATAAAGTTCTAAATATTCATCTTTATGCCAGGATTGACTAAGAAAAAGGGCAAATTGACCAACCATAGTGAAGTACCATATTTGCCGGTGTATAAGACACCCCCCCTTTTTTATACAGATTTTTGAAGGATAAATCTTTTATTAATGATCATTTTATTGAATTTACAGTATTTTAAATATAAATACAAATACAAAGTAATGCTTTCTGCAAATATCCAATCTATCTGGGAAAGAACAGCATTTAATTTTCTTTGTCAAAACTCAAACAGGGTTCGTAGCGGTCCTTACAAGCGCTTATATTTAAAAATAAAATATAAAGGCCCTTATAGGTGCTTACTTTTTCTTTAAAGCCCTTATTTTTTTGTTTTTAGTGCTTTTTTTTTTTTTTTTTTTTTAATGAACGCTATTTTCCCCCTACCAAAGCCGAAACTAAATAAACAACTTTTCTTAATATTGAATGTCAGGTGGTGAATCATACTCCCGGAAATAGCTTTTCCCCCTTTCTCTGCATTAACATAACCTTTGGTGCGCACAAAGAGTACAGACAGGTGCCCGTCGTTATATTGGTCAAAGAATTGCGAAAGCAGTAGAAAATTTCGGTACATTCGGCATTCTTTTCCTCTCACCCAAATACTATACACGTTTAAATTTCTATCCAGATCTTAATAATTTGCATTCTCGTTCCGCTTGGTCAGTTCATATTTGTGTTTATTATGATCATTATGCTTATATTATGAGTATATGTATGAATGTTTATAATAACAGTTGCAGTAACTGCTGAAGTATAGTAAACTTCCAAAAATGGTTGTATTTTACACACATTAGCGTTTTAGGAATAATACTCGGAATGGCTTAAATAAAGGGAAAGTAATCGAATAGTCAAAATAATTTAATTTTTTTTGGCCAATACATTATATAGTGCGAAGATTGGGAGGTTCTCCCCTTTCTCCGCAAAATCTCAAATATTGAAACTGTTACAAGTTCGCTGCAAAACAAGCAACGGACTTTTTTTTTTTTTTTTTTGTCACTTTCCAATCTGGATTGAATAGGACTAAAAGTTCTGTGGTCTACCAACCCAAGCGAAGAATGATTCTATTGCGGAAATTTAACGCCGTCTGTTGAAAATTAGAATGAAAAACACCCCAGTTACTCATATTTAGTTCTTTATTCTCCCAATTTCAGCAGCTGTTGATTCCGATTGCGTAATATCACGTAGGGAAGAATTATGGCACACGTATTGTGCAATAACGTTTGCGATATTTCGCAGAGATAATTAATTAATTGAATTTTGATGTTCTGTTTGAGATTTGTTTATGAACACTTAAAAGAGTTTTACTGTGCTTGCTAAGCAGAATATTTTTCAGTTCCATTGGTTTATTTTTATATGATTCACATATCAAAATGTCAAAAGCATTTATTTAGCGGAAAAATCTAAAAAGTGGCTACAGTCAACAACCCCCCCCCCCGCTCCTCTTTTTCAAGTTACGCTCAACTGTCCGAATATTCGCCAGTTTCCAAGTATGCGGCTTAGTTAAGCTTTTACTGTTAAAGGATGACTGCATGAAGCAAATTTCTGTCTTCTGATTTCAGAAATGTTCCTCTTTTTTACTTAAATTACTTTGCTTGCAATATCTGTTAAGAGAAAACTGATATACAATGAAAATTTAGAAAATATTCAGAATTTAGATTTAAATTATTTAAATATTAATATGAGTGGAAAAATAAATTGTATTTATTATTAGGTTCCAAGCAAATACAATAAATATGCCTTATTATTATTTATTTTCTCTATTTTGAACTGAAATTTCATCATTAAATCTTGTAATATAGTTCTGCATAGTTTTTTTTTTTTTTTTTTTTTCTCTCATTGTAAACTAGTTCTGTAAATTGAACTGTTATTTAAAATTTAAAGGGAAAAAAAAAAAAAAGTAATTATTTTCCATGGTTGAGGTAATGCTTATTCTCTCTTAATAAATACTGCATTTCTCATATTTTAAATTACAAGTCTAATTAAGGTTATGCAGTTGTGTATAATGTCATTAGACAGGTGCTTATTTTTT